TTGTCTCTTTTTGTGTACACGGGATAAGATGTTGGGACTTATCTTTCACGTTGGGAGTAATGCAGAAGCTGCTAGAGTTGTCCAGAAATGTTGCAGGGATGTCATGAACTAGAGTGATGCACTGGGAATGAAAAGAAGGCAACAGATATGAGAAAATAAAGTCTTGTAGAGAAAGTGATTGACTCTTGAGTCCAGTGACTAAATTAGAAAGATGCTCATTGTATTGTGATGTGCCTGGACAATAACAGATACTAACACTTCAGAAAAGTTTTCATCTGACTCTGACATGAATACCTTTTTATAGGTGTTTTATAGTTGACGCCATTAAATAGATAAAGTCACAAAATTCATGCATTAAAATTTCAAATTGGATTCAAGCAACGAATATTTAAAAAATAAAAGCTCATACTATGTAAAAATATATCCCCAGGAATACTGTGGACAAGTTTTATATCTTATTAAAGAGCTAAAACTTTTCAATTAGAGCAAACAGAACATTCACTGCTTATAGCAGTTCTTTAATTTTGAAACTTGTAATTAGAGCAAAATGATTTAAGTTTTTTTCCATTTATGAGTTAGCAACAAAAAGCAATTTTTAAACTTTATTTGAACCTAGTTTATGAATCTGAGATTGAAGAACCACTGCATCCTAATACTATAGTGTAGGTTGAAATGATTAAGCTCTTGAAACAGACCACCTTGTCATGATTTCCTGTTTAGTATTGTTTAGCTGTGTGACTTTCATCAAAATATGTAAACCCTCTATTTTCTTATTAGTAAAATGGGGACAATAATTGTATCTACCTCATAGGATTAAATTGGTTAATATTAGTACTTACAACAGTGCCTGGGATTTTAGTTATTACTATCATTAATAATATATTATAATAAATAATAGCTTTGAATTAATTTATCTCACCTAATCTTAGGGACATCTTTGTCCCTTAAAATGTGCATTATTTCATTATTCCCTACAAATAAGATAGTGAATTGTCCAGTGTCACACGATTGGAATTGGTGGACATGGAGATCCAATCCAAATATTCTAATTCAGAATGTGCTCCTTTCTGATTCATCGTGCATGTTTTTGTGGGCCTCCCAAATCAAAACTAGAAGACGCTGGTTTTCCCTTGTCCATCGTAAGAAGAATCAGAATCAAAAATCTTTCCCACTCTGGGGCATGTCATCAAAAATTACTGTTAACTATCCTCCTTCATTCATTCATTCAACCAAAAGTTACTGAGATTCTGTGGGAGATACTGCGCTCTGGAATTGCTTAATATGGACCCAACCTACTCTTGGCATATTTATTTATTTGTTTATATATTATATATATATATTATATATATTCCAAATATAATTGCCATGTTAAAAAAAATTGTGCCAACTTCTAAGATAACATGAAATACAGCAAGGCAATGTAAATTATAAGTCACTGATAAATAAAAATATATACACACAAACACACATATAGTAAAAATATAAAATGTATTCCAAATGAGCCTTATGAGGTCCTATATATTCCTGGGGGCCCTCAATGTACACTGTATATATGGGAAAGCATAGAGTGATTGACCTTAAATCAAAGTGTGCCTCTAATAATTAATTATTCTGAAAACAAATACATTATTTTTATATAGATACATATACCATGCTTCTCTTAAAAATATTTAGAAGAAAGTATTTTAAGATACAGTATGTCCATCTTAGTAATATTTGAACAGAAGATAGAAGGTGATTGATAAATCATGGTGATGATGAAGATGATGATGAGGTAGTACTATGTTTATTTACATTTTTACATTGGGTTTTTGTGGGGAATGGGGTGCTTTTTATATGAAGGTAAAAAATTTTTCTATTTTTTGTCAATGTTAATTTATTCTGAGTTTACCTAAAGTTATATTTGTATGAAATATCATGTAACTTGTATTAGTGGTTGAGATGTGAGTCTGACTTATTTTACTATCATGAACATTTTACATAGTTAAGTTTCAGCTGTGTAGTATTCACTGATAACTTCTGTATCCTTTGCTTTGAAAATATTTCTTATTTGAGGAAGTGAAACCTACTGAGTCAATTAGAAGAGATGGAGTCTTGAGTCCTTCCTCTTAACATTCATTCACAGAAAGTAAAAATGTTGGGGACTAGAAAAGGAGTTATTTATGGTCCTTCTTCTTCATTAACACATATTCTTTGATCTTGCACTAACATTAAGATACATTATTGTAATTATTGAGGCACAATCCTGATGAGTTATGTATCTGTTGAAGTCATTCTTCATGTTTATTCAGTCAACCATCTGACATAAACTAGGGCAGAGTAACCAAAGTTACATTTGCGACTTTATGGTTAAACTGAATTTGCATATGGCAGCAGTCCGTTTATAAATAAAGAATGATAGAAGAAGTCATATTAGAGTAAGTACCACTAAAGAGGCACATTCAGTGTGATCTATGTTTGAAAATTGAAATGAATGTTCGTTGCAGCTTTTTTGTTGATCCGGCAAATAATATAAACTCCTAACAACAGATAAAGCTGAACAGAAAATACCTTTTGTGATGTCTTCTCTTACTATGGCTACTCTAACAAACATCAGTAATTTGTATAACGTTAAATTTTCAGGTACAAGGGATAGAGAAAAATCTAAATTCAGTTTTGAATTAACTGTTTCCCAGTCTTCTTGTACCATCAAGACCTTATTGTTGCTTTTCACCTCCTCCCCCTTCCCAACTCACTCTTTTCAGTTATACCTTATGAGGAAATGAATCATAGGAACTAGAAGTCATTCTTAACCAAAGCAACATGTAAGCTGACATGGAAGTTCCAAGAGAAACCTCTGTAGCCTAATAGAGTAGCTTACATATTCTAGCCACTGTACTCAAAAATAATACAACTTTCATGATTTAGACTGAGTAGAATAATTTTTAGTTCTGATAATTGTATTATAATTAGATCTTTAAAAGCTTTTCTGTTTTCAGTTATACATACTAAAATATTTACAGATGAATTTATATAATATGTAGGAGGTGCTTCAACATATTACAAGGGTAGAGAGAGCAAACGAAGGTATCGATTAAACTGGATTGGGTATGAATTGATAGTTGTTGAAGTTTGATGATAGAAGCATAGAAATTAATTATGCTTTTCCCTATAACTTGGTATATATTTGAAATATTCTATGATAGTTTTTTAAATGCATGAGTGAATGAAGTATCCACTTAGAGCTCAGAGTACTGCTTTTCATTCTTCATGCATTAAAGACAGAGAACATCAGCTCTTTCACAGCTTGCTCTTACATAGAATAGAACTACCTTTTTGAAATTGTGTTATGTAGATCTGTAAGAAAATTCTATAGATACACAATATGGTTCTCTTTTGACTTATATAAGAAGTGGATTTTTCCTGGGTGATAACATATTGAATATGCTTTTAAATTTACTATTCTTGTTATCTAAAGATAGGAAATTTAGCTTTTCTTAAATATTTACTCCTGTGTTAAAAATATCAATGTGAGGATGTTATTGAAAATAGAACAATTAAGTCTTAGCTTTATCATCTGTGAAATGATAGAGCAAATAATATTTGAGGTGTTTTTAAGCCCACCCGGACGTAAACATGTGTGGTAGTAAACATCAGAGGATTCTGTATTGACATGTAGTATTTCTTTACACTACCTTAGTTCAACAATGTTACCATTCCAAGTTTCTTTTCTTTTTTTTTTTATTTTTGACAATTTGTCTGGCAAAGGAGTTACTCAATTTGTTAATCTGAGTGAAGTTTAGAAAGAATAAACTACCTATCAAAGAATCTGCCACAAAGTAGATGCTCAGTAGTTGTCTAGTGAGAGGAGAGTGAGAGAATTATTCCACCACTGATCCAAGCACTACTCTGGGGCATCTAGATCACTAATTTCCCATTAAACCAAATGGATAGTACAGTCCTGAGTTAAGTACTGAATGATTTTTTAAAATGTGTTAGTTTTCTGCATTCCTTGTCTCATCTCTAAAATGGTGCTAATTCATCCCATTTCTCCCTTAAAATGATGCTATGATTTTGACTATTTTTAAAATAACATGCTACTAAAGTCAGAGAATGGTGCAAAACAAAAATAGGGTTATGGCTGTCATATACCATCTATCTCTAGAAGGCAATGTTATCTACAGGGTGAGAAGATAGTCTTATGCTCTTTCCCTGCCAGTGGTGAGTTTTTAATGTAATTAGTTTTGAGAAATGAACTTGAGAGAATTAGAACAAAACCTCTAATAATTACCAACAAATACATTTCCAGCCAAAAAGTTATTTGCACAAATCTTTTTGTAGTATCTAGTTTGAAAGCAAGATAAGGGACAAAAACTTAATATCTCACTGAGTATTATATTCCAAATGAGCTGTATCAGAATGATAAGCTTTCAGGACAGATGATGGTTTCTGAATATAAATTTACGTACTTTACTTTTCCCTGCTAATTACATATAAATCAAGATTTTTAAATATGGAGGCAATTAAAACAGAAATATTTAGCCATAGTTAAATATGCACAGGAACTTTTCCAAAATGGGTTTTGAAATGGATTGTTCTCATTGATACTACTGCTTTATTTATTATGAATTTTTACCAAAATGAACTTTTTATACAATGTTTAATTAGCACTGCTGTCTTTTCATAAAGAGGAATGTGATTCAATTTCCACTTTTCTGCATTACTCTAAAGCTTTGGTAAATTAGAATTATAAGTGAGCACTGAGGAAAATAAAGAGATTCCTTTTGTTTGACAAAAGAAAAAATAACTTTTTCAAAGAAATTTTTCTTCTCGGTAAATTTGAAATATTGAACATTTACATATTTTGTTGGCTTCCTGTTCTACTCTTGGTACCTCTTCAAGACAAATCTTGCCCTAACCCCTACACCAAAACCTCTTTTTATAGTTGTAGAACATTGGCACTTCTCAGTACTGTTTGTTTAGGACAAAAACCAATCAGTGCATTTTCTGTGTTTCCTTAGGAGTCAGACGGCCAGGGCTGCCCCTTCTGTCGTTGTGAAATAAAAGGAACTGAGCCCATAATCGTGGACCCCTTTGACCCAAGAGATGAAGGCTCTAGGTGCTGCAGCATCATTGACCCCTTTGGCATGCCAATGCTTGATTTGGATGATGACGATGATCGCGAAGAATCCTTGATGATGAATCGGTTGGCAAATGTTCGAAAGGTAAAGCTAGAAAACATGGGTTTAGTTAGAGTGCTGTGAGGACATGAAAAAGAAATGCTGCTGTCACAAATGGAATATTTGGTTTGGAAAAGAAAGACACAAACACACACACTAGCTTAGGCCTACACAGGGTCAAGATCATCAATATTTCCTTCCACCTCCACATCTTGTCCCACTGGAAGGTCTTTGGGGCACTAACACACCTGTAGCTGTTACCTCCTATAATAGCAATGCCATCTTCTAGAATACCTCCCAAAGGACCTGCCTGTGGCTATTTTACAGTTAACTTTTTCTTTATAAGTAGGAGGAGTACACTCTAAAATAATAATAAAAAGTATATTATAGTATAGTAAATACATAAGCCAGTAACATAGTCATGTATTATCATCACTGTATGTACTATACAGCATTGTATGCAGTATACGTTTATGCAGCTAGCAGTGCAGTTTGTTTCTACCAGCATCACACACACATATGAGTCATGCTTGGCACTACAGCATTACAATGGCTATGATGTCATCAGGCAATAGGAATTTTTCAGCTCCCTTGTAATCTTATGGCAACGCCATCGTATATGCGGTCTGTCACCAAAATGTCATTATGTGGGACATGAGTGTAATGTTGACAGGCTGATAAAATCATGGACTGAAATAGGACTAGACTCTATCCAAGGTGTTCTCGTTGGCTTTAAAATTCATAATGAGGGGTGATTAAAGTGTTTGGGTAGAATTAAACATCAGCTAATACTGGTAGTAGCAAATCTGTAGAGAAAAATTTAAGAAAGGGGATTATTAAATTTGGAAATAATGAAACCGAACTTGATTAAAAATATTCTTTGTTGAGGTGTAGAAGAAGTATCTGATAGAATTATTTTCTTTTTTTAATGTTTTTTATTTCAAAATATTAATGAAGGGGGTATAAGTATTTTTGTTACAAGGATATCTTGCATAATGCTGAAGTCAGGGCTTTTGGTGTGTCCATCACCAGAACAGTGTTCATTGTACCCAATAGGTAAGTTTGTGTCCCACACTCACCCTCCAGCCCTCTCCCCTTCTTGGTTTCTCATGTATTATATATTGCTTTGTGCCCATGAGTACCCATTTATTAGCTCCCAATTATTACTGAGAACATATGGTGTTTGGTTTTCTATTTCTGAGATAGTTAACTTAGGATAATGGTCTCCAGTTCCATCCAAGTTGCTGTGAAAGACATTATTTCACTCTTTTTTATGGCTGAGTAGTACTCTATGGTATATATACACCACATTTTCTTTATCCACTCATGAATTGAAGGACACTTAGGTTGATTCTTCTTCTTTTCTATTGTGAATTGTGCTGCGATATACATTGAGTGCAGGTGTCTTTTTGATAAAATGACTTCATTTCCTTTGGGTAGATACCCAGCAGTGGGATTGCTGGATCTAATGGTAGATCTACATTTATTTCTTTGAAGAATCTCTATACTGTTTTCCATAGATGTTGTACTAATTTGCAGTCCCAACAACAGTGCATAAGCGTTCCTTTGTCTCTGCATTCATGCCAGCATCTATTGTTATTTGACTTTTTAATAATGGCCATTCTGATAAGGGTAAGGTGGTATGTCATTGTAGTTATAATTCCTACTTTCCTGATGATTAGTGATATTGAGCATATTTTCATATGTTTGTTGGCCATTTGCCTATCTCCTTCAGAAAAAAATCTGTTTATGTGTTTTGCTCACTTTTTGATGGGGTTGTTTGTTTTTTCCTTGCTGATTTGTATGAGTTCTTTATAGATTCTGCACATCTGTCCTTTCTTGAATGTATAGTTAGTGAATATTGTCTCCCATTCTGTAGGTTGTGTATTCATTCTGTTGATTATTTCCTTTGCTGTGCAAAAGCTTTTTAATTGAATTGTCCCACTGTAAAATTTTTTTTGCTGCTTTATTTGCCTTTGAACAATGTCTGAAAGAGTTTTTAGGTATGCCCTGCTCTGTTGAGGCAACCAGGCAAGCAGCACCAGAGAGGGATGGCAGGTAGGATGCTCAGGCTCTGAGCACCCTTGGTGTGCTGCAGGCTTTTAAGAGGAAAGGCGTAAGCCCCACTTTCTGTGGAAGCCTTAGTGTAGTGGACATGCCAACAGAGGTGAAGCAGCCGCTCCTGAGAGTCTTGGCTCAGTCATCCCTTGGGGCACCCATGCCAACTCAAGTGGGACCTTCCACTTGGCAGCAGTGGGTGGGGGAGGGGAGGAGGAGGAGAAAAGTCTCAATGGAGGCACTCTGGTCTGCTTTGTCCTTCTCCCAGAAGGCAACCCACCTGAAATGTCCAAGCTCTGGGATCACACAGTTCCCCCAGGACCGGCTCCTGCGGCCATTGCAGTCTGGGCAGGTGTTGAGAAATGTTTGTATGGGGACCAATGACACGAAAACCGAAGGGCTGAAGCACGCTGGGGAGGACAAAGGCATACCATGGGTGGAGATGAAGTATGGCACCTGCCATCTCAGCTTCAGCCTGTGGTGACTGGGAGTGACCCCTGAAGGCTGGCTATCTGGCACTTGGCCTTCAAGAAGCTCCCTGTTCATTCGCAGCAGTAGCTTTTGGGGTTGTGAGGATATAGAAGTTCTCCAGCAGCTCAGGAGCCTGCTGACTACCACAGGTGTGAGAGAATGAGAAACAAAAATCCCCACTTAACTTTTCTACGGGACTCCAAGTTTCTTGGGGATTGATGATCTCTGCTGATATCTTGCTCCTTTTTGTTCTGCTTTGCAACTTCTTCCCATGGATCTCCAGTAGATTCTGGCCCTTTTCCATCTGAATTACACCTGAGCTATGTTTTTTTCATCTAAAACTTTTACTTCTTTCTGGTACGTTCTGGTGACCAATGTCTCTGGTCAGCTATCATGGCCCACCCTCCTCAGAATTACTTTCTTAATAGGAAGTCCATCGTGCTGTTTGGCCTCTTAAGAGGTCACATAAGATTTACCTTTGGGAATTTGCCATAGATGGGGTTTGCTCATCAATATTGTTGACTTAGAAAATTGAACTTGTCAGTTCACTGAGAATGGATGCTACTGCCCAGTTGGAGTTTATATAACCGACTTTGCAAAAAAACTAATCAATGAACCAAAATGCCAATTGATTAATTTGCAAACCAGAAATATAATGGCCAAGAGGGCTGGACTTATAAATATCAGGCTATTCTCTGTTTAGAAAGATATGTGCAGTTTAGATTACACTCCGAAATTTTTTGGTCTCAAAATCAGCGAAATGGGATTGAGTAATATGGAAGCATCTGCAAATATGGTCCCACTCTTCCTCTTGACTCAGGTAGACCTGGCTGATCAGTCATCGCACTCCTCCCCACTGAGTTCACACTTGGCCTACATAGCCTTTTCAACACAGCCCTAAAGATCATCCACTATGATTCATTAGGATTTGTCAGGTAACATGAAACCTATTTGCCTTTTAGGTAGGATGATAATAATGTGTAATGGCATCATATTGTGTTCACCATATGCATCTATCTCTGTAGTAGCAAAATACTTGGTACTGGGAACTAGATGAGGCATTTCTTTGAGTTATCCCTTCTTCAGGGATGTGTCTGAGTTTGCCTCTTGGAAAACTCCTGCATTTTCTTTGTTCCAGTGTTCCATGCTGACCAGACATTCCCTTAGGATTTTTTCCATACAAATATTACATATGAAGAGATACTAACATCACCAATGGCTATTTCCAAATTTTTCTTTTGTCTGGAATCATTTTTAATCTTTACCATATGGTTTTTCATAAATTTCATAATTTAGCTTTCTGAGAAACTAAACTTGATTTCATCCTTTAATTCCCACAACTATATTTAGTTTTTATTAAGGTTATTATTAGGTTATTAAGTATGAAATGCCCAATTTCTGTAAGTACTAAGTTTGACAATTGATATCTCTGACATTTCACTTTGACACTGTTTTATTTTTTTTTGAAGGTACATTCTTAGTCTTTCAAATGCATGTTTTGGCTTGTGATTATCTTTCAAATTTTTTTTTTAGAGCAATTTTTGTGAAACCATGGATAAGTCAAAAATTCATGTTATTTTCGAATATGAGTTCTGTTGTGGAAGCATTGCAGTGCAGACAACTTGAAATATCAATGAAGTGTTTGGGAAGGATGTAGCTAATGAACACACAGTACATAGATGGTTTGAGAAGTTCCATTCTGGTGATTTTAATCTTGAAAATGAGCCATGTTGGCGAACTGAGATCAAGGTTGATAATGATGAGCTTAAAGCTGTAGTGGAAGCTAATCCATCTCAACCTATGCATGAATTAGTGGCAAGGTTTGACATTACTATTCCAACAATATTGGACCATTTGAAACAAATGGGCAAAATAAAGAAGCTGGATAGATGGGTACCACATGAATTAAAAGAATATCACAAGAGGAATTGTCTCAAAGCTTGCCTTTCTTTGCTGTCGTGACATAAAGGTGATCCATTTCTATACCATAATATTGTTATGTGTGATGAAAAATGGATTCTTTCTGACAATCACAAGCATTTGGCACAATGGTTGGATAAAGATGAAGTGCCGAAACACATTCCAAACCCAAATAGTCTTAAAAAAAAGCTAACGGTGTCTGCTTGGGTCCAGCCCTGGTATTATCCACTACAGCTTCATGAAACCTCGTCAGTCGATTACAGTGGATGTCTACTGCAGCCAATTTGATTAACCGATGAGGATGCTTGTGATTAAGCAGCTGAGATTGGTCAATAGAGACAGGCCAATCCTCTTGTAAGACAACACTAGACCACATGTCACACAACCAGCTAGTTTTAATTTTAGGAAAACCTGGAATAAAGCACCAGTTCTGCTACAGCGTAGTACTAGGATCCTAGCCAAGATATTTAACCTCTTTGTCTCTCACTTTCTTCCTTTGTAAAACAGGACAATAATAGTTGCTTCTCCACTGGGTGTTTTATGATCAAATGGAGCAGCATCAGGTCACGGAAATCGTATATGTTTACTATTTTAATGTTTACTATTAAAATTAATAATACTATAACAGATATTCTAGGATACATTCACTCATCCTACTTAGTGGAAATCATATCATCACTGTGCATGTGAGAAAGCTTCATATGGGTAGTTGGAGATACTGCTGTGCAGGAGACATAACTTTGAATCATATCTCTAACCCTACCAGTACAGCCAAGTCACGGGACTAATCTGAGCCTCATTTCCTCATCTGAAAAGTAAGAAGAATGATACTGCCCCAAGTTGTTGGGAGAATAAAATAAATGATTAATATTGGTTTTATTGAATTATGGCCTTTTTCCCTGCAAACTAAAGATGATTTTGCTTTTTAAATTGTATATAGTTAAATTATTATGTAAGTACCTACAAAATTTCCTTGATTTTATATCTTGCCCTGCAAAATCAAAAATATTTACTGTCTGGCCCTTTAAGGAAAAATTTGCAGCCCTGGGTCAAGGGGTAAGCATTTAAAGAATGTTTATTAAATGCATGGATAATAGGGAATGACAGAAAAGAATGTGATATACATACAACAGCTCAAGTAGTTCACTTGACCTAGGTAGTAATGTTTTCTAGCTGTGAGGAAAGCATTTCAATTTTTTTTAATAAACGGGTTTTGTTTTTTCAATGATCCATGTCAGGGGGTGGTGGGTCTTGGCCTTAAATGTAATTCTTTCAAGAATTTTGTGTACCTTACTGCTTGGGAAAAAAACAGCATTTGCCTTCTAAGAGTTTGGGAAAAGTTGCGGTCTTGGCCTGCTTTCCATTGAATTAAGTCGAAGCTTGAGCCTCTTTTTAGTAGTGGCCCTGGCAATTGAAAGGAAACACTGTTAACACAAAGTGAGTAGCAGAATGCTCCAAGGTTACTGGGGTGGTTCTCTCTGATCTTTTCACCAGCTCCAAGACCATGCATGTTTTGTGTTTCCTGACACACTGGCGAGCTTTCCGTGAAGGGAGCTGAGAGATTTTTACATTGATCTCTCTGTGGTTTATCCCACAAGGAGAAGAATGATGCTCTCAGGCATTATTGTTCCAGAAATCATAATTCAGTGGTTTATTTGATAGTAAACAGTGTCATTTAATATACAGTCAGCATTATACTTTCCTATGGTAGTTAGATATTGTAGAAATTTAAGGAAGTTGTAATTATTTGCTTTTAAGTTGAATCATACTTCAATTAAGTATCTTTGTGTCCACTGACCTGCCTCTAGTCAATTAAACAGATAGTGAATTTTATAGCATTTCATAAATCTCTGCCACTTAACTTTCAATCAAATATAAATTTTGGAGTAGAAACAAGCATTGATTCTTTCTGAATAATTGGGAAAAATATTGCTACAATATTATGTTCCTGTAATACTTTATATGTACTTCTATATTTCAGGAGTTACACTAAATTGTTTTATTTTATTCAGAGGACTGTTTTCATTAGAAGAAAACACTTAAGTGCAGGCACAATGCCTTGTTTATTTTTGTGTTCCTAGCACCTAAATGCAGTCAGTAAATATTTACTAAATGAACTAATAAATGCACACATGCACACATGTTCCTTGAGGGCAATGACATGATTTTATGCATCTTTTTATCTTCATTCCAATCTGAAGTCTGTGTGTGTGTATACATATACATATACATATACATATGTATAAATAACATATCAAACTAATAGGTTTTATCCAGTTTTGTCTTACAGGAGCAGTTATAAACAAATATCTCATAGTTACTTTGATACAATAGCTCTTCTACCTGAATTTTCTTTCTCTCTGATTTTTTAATCATTATGTTGCCTTATTTAATCATTCACTCACTCATTCACCTGTTTTTAAAACATTTCTTTCTCTCAACTCCAAGAATGACCATCAATTATTGTCCAGAGCAGAATGATTCCATTTTTTTAACCTTTCAAATAGTCATCTCATCTTTCTTTTGTGAGTGGGTTGATAACTATATTGTAAAATTGTTTCTGCCTGTCTTAAGCATATTGCATTCTTTAATTGAGTAATGCTTCCATCATAGCATAGAGGAAGCATATATTCCTGTTACCATGGTAATATCCCATAGCTGGAGTTTATAAATATTAACATACAGAACATACAGAATATATTTTTATTATTTCTTTTATAGTTAAGTATGCTTAATAATATTAATCTTTAGAGAAGCAAATAGAACCTATAAGTCTATAATATATTGTGTAGGTTGCCTTCTTAGATAGATGTTTTATGATTTTAACCAGAATATGTTTTAGATTTTACCTGAGTCTGTATCATTGCCTGAGTTCTCCCACTATCAGATTTCCGGGATAATTGGATCTGATGTTAGCCCTCAGAGGTAGTTCAGGATGGGATTGGTAAGATCACAGCCTTCTCTCTGACTTCATCAGATCGGAGCCAAAAAAAAAAAAAAAAATGGTATCTGTTACTACTCAGAAATTTGCTTCATTTTGCCAAAGGTATAAGAGAAGTCTTAACAAATTTTAGCAGTTATATTAATGAAACATATTAATCACTAGATGTATAAAATTACACACAAAATAAAATTTACATACAAATAAAAATGTTGAACTAGTGAATAAACCTTAGATTAATCCCTATGATCTTAAACATTATGTTTTCTTAAAACAATATTTAAAATCTTAACGAATAGCCATATTAAAACAAAAATGGGTGTGACCAGAGGTAAAGGGAATTGTTCTTCTTTTATTTTTTTTACAGGTTCTCCTAATTTTGCCTTAATCAATTAAAATATCCATTGATAATTAAAAAGCAATATGTCATCTAATAATTGCTTTTCCTAATAATAAGTGTGAGGAAAGGCTCTGTAGTATTCCCGATCCTAAGGAAAGGACTTTATATGCAGATCACAGTGTTTATGCAGTTATTTTTAGGAAGATATTGTTTTTTTATGTTTTTAATTTAAATCTCAACCACAGGGCTAAAGTCCATGTTGGAGCAGTAAGGACAAAAATTACAACAAAAGTGAAATACGAAAATAAAAGTAGACATTCAAAATAAAGAATGTGGTTCTCAACTAGGGACAGTTCTACCTCTTGAAGGTATTCAGAAATATATGGGGACATTTTTGGTTTCCACAATGACTGAGGGGTGGGGAATACTGTTGGCATTGTGTGGACAGGGCCAGAGGAACTAAACATCCTGCAACCCTTGGGATGGCCTCACCCAAGAAGTTATCCTGACCACAGTGCCAGTAGTCCTTACCTCTCCCTTTGTGGGACACTTAGGTAGATTCATGGATGACAGCAATCTAAAGGCATAGGTACATTGTTTGCCATTTAACTGAATTCTGTTTACTCATTTTCTTAAAGCTCTTTGTGTGAAATATGGTATTTGTTTTATTAGTATGTGATTAAAAAAGGAAACAACTTACTCGTGCAAGAGCTGTTTGATATCATAGGGGTTCTTGAAGACATTCTTATGTATTCCTCAAAAATTGTTTGAATATATTGTACAGTAGGAGAAACAACACTTGAACTCTTGTACTCAGTTTTGGGTCCACTGCCTCTGGTAGACTGTCTGCTCCTTAAGGACAGGGGACATCTTTTCCTTTCGTTCTTAGAGCTTCGCATAGTGCCTGACACGCAGGCCCTTGAGAAAGGTTTTTTTCCTGAAGAATCAGTAGGGGTACTGTTCTTAACTATACAATGCTTGAGTAGAGCTATGCTCCTTGGAGTCAAACTGCCTAGACTCATGTTCTAGTTTTGCTACTTAGTATCTCTGTGCCCTGCATTATTTAACACACCCCACTCCCCATGCCTCAGTTACCTTGTCTGTAAAACCATACCTCTTAGGGTTAAAATTAAAAGAGTTAATACACATGAAGCCATTAGAACAGAGCTGGCACATGGTAAATACGAAGTGTCAGTTGTTACCAATATTATTTTCTATATGTAGTGTTATTTAAGACTCCTGAAATATTGCTATACTTCTAATAATTAAATATCCGTATTTTTAAGATATCTATGGAAGATTTTATTTTCTTTTTTTTTAGTTATTGCTACCTGTCATTCCATTTGGGAAGAATTAGATGCCAAAACTATATTAGTTTAGCAAGCAGTTGGTTGTATTTTTTGAATAAATTAACCTCTATATAGT